ATGAGATTTTTCATCTGCATCAGATGGTCACAATTTTAAGCCTGTGTCAAGTTCTATAAAAATTACATACTACTATTTAAACTAGTTTCTACTCTAATTTAAATATATATAAATAGGTATGACAACTTAGTGTAGTTGGTAAGTTGTCGCACACCAAGTGATAGGACAAGAGTTCAAATCCCACTGGCAATGAAATTTGATTTTGCAGAAATGCATTATGATAAAACTGTATAACATATCGATCGGGTAAGCATCTGTGACTTTGGTCTTACCAACTTGTATTAGGAGGTTATAGAACATAGTGTGACGTATGAGTTATACAAAACCTGAGTAAAGCAGTTAAATAAATCCAAGGGATCGGGATATAGAAGTCTGCTTAGGAAGTCCCAAGTAGAGAGGTAGCACAGATCTTTGACGATACTACGTAATGAATTATTATCTGGTGAACTGCACACTGAAGGCAAACTGAACGAGGACCGAGTGTTTGGCAAGCACTATACTAACCAGGCCACCAGATCAGCTGGAGGAAAAAAGATTCATTCAGAATATCAGGGGACATCTACTAGTTCTTCCTGGGCCATCTGGATTGGAAGTTTGGAGCACTGACGGTTGGCATCAAAGTACTGTTGATAGTTCATAAAGTGGATACTGGGGTTTGGGCGAACTTTGCAAGAGCACAGAGTAGATAATGATAGTGAAGATAAAAAGCCACAAATACTTGGTTATAGCTTAGGTGTAATTTACCAAAAATCTAAGTGATACATGTGTAGAACATGAATCACTCTAGTAGGTTTATCATGAAGATAAAGTAGTCCTAAGGGGCCTTAGCGGCAGTTCCCTCTTTGGGGAGAATATCCCAACAGTGCTAAGTTGATCAGAGGGTTTAATTGGGTAACTCAAATAATAGTGTGTTGCAAGTACAATATCTAATATAGTTTATATAGGTTACATATGCAAGACTGCTTAAATAGACAACTAAAAGTTGTATATATGGCTAGTATGTATCCTTGTTAATGTAACAAAGTCAGGGGTAGCCCTGTGGCTGCCCTGACATTTGATTCAAAGTTTAATAAAACATGCCAGATCCCAAAGTAATCACCTTAATATTAAAAAAAAAATAATAATAATTTATATATATAGCATATCTAAGATAAGAAAAAAATTCTGTGACAAGGTAAAAAAAATAGCTTCTTCAATGTCAGCATTATAGAGAGGTCAGAAAGGTCAGAAAATCACACCAGAGGTCTTGAGTTATTATTTATCCAGGTTATTATATTCGAGGTATATAATTCACATGTTCAGTTCTATATATATTCACATGTTTGTTATAATGAGTAAAAAAAATAAACAATGCGACCGATTTGGTAAATAAACAATATATTGATCTTTGGAGGGAGTAAGTTAAATCGTCTACTTTTTTACAAAATTTTCTCTAAAAAAAAGTAAAGGAATAACAAAAGTATAAGTTTCTTCTGAAAGTTTTACAGTTATATAGATAATTCTTCAAGCTTCAACTATCTCAACAAGAGTTTTTTGACTACTATTTGTTTTTAGATTAGACTTTTTAATTTGGATGCCAAATAACTTAAGGAGTCCATTCGATAAATTAGCAAAAAAAAACTTGACCCCAAGAAAAACCATCCAAGTTATATTTGTTTCTTAATATATTACATCTCTTAAACTTTGTTAACAACAATCTGTATAAAGATAAAAACAGTTTCTAAAATACCCTTTTAGTTTGAATTTTAAATAACTTAGAGAGTCTACCAGAAATAGCAAAGTTTAACCTCAAGAAAAACCATTCAAAAAATGTCTGCTTTTCGATGTTTCATATCTTCAAACTTCATCAATAACTGCTTTACTCTAAGGTAGAACTGAGATGTATCTATCTTGAACATTTTTATATCATTTTTCTGTAGTTCAGTTTTTTTATTATTGTTATTCAGAAGATTGTCAAAAAGAGTTTATTTATTCTAAAGATTATTAGAATATCAATCTGAATCTTAAATATATATATAAATTTAAATTAATTATACTGAAATTACAATCTTAATCAAATTGGCTAAAAAAATTATTTGACTAATTTTATTTGGTATTTTAGAAATTATAAAAACAGTTATAAAATATTAGGATTCTGTTTTAATTGAAATCCTGTTTAGTTTGAATTTTGTCTTCATCAAGATCTTGACTATTTGGAATTTTAACTATTTAGAATTTTGACTACATCAGTAAATTTTTAAGGTGATTAGTATCGATTATAATCTAAAAATATTAATCGATTAGCAACACCACCGTCGTAAGTAATCGATATAGATTAGAAATCGATAATAATCATATATACAATAAAAATCGATATAGATAAAAATCAATAGTTATCATTTATATAATAGTTATCAATAAAAATTGATATAGATAGAAATCGATAGTTATTATTTGTGATAAAAATCAATTAGATAAAAATCAATAATTATTATTTATGATAAGAATCGATTTAGATAAAAATTGATAGTAATTATTTATTAGGAAATTTTTTAAGCTGATAAGTTATGATTACCAACAATTAATCGATTATTATCGATTAAATTTAATCGATAAGAACCGATGGTGATGATTGTAATCACTAGATATTCTTATCGATTTTAATCGATAATGTTACTAATCGTTAATTTACTATAAACAATTATTATCGATTAATTTTTTATCAATAAAAAATTAATCAATAATAATCATTTCTAGTAAATTAACGATTAATAACATTATCGATTAAAATTAATAAGGATATCTAGCGATTACAATCACCACCGTCGGTTCTTATCGATTAAATTTAATTAATAATAATCAATTAATTGTTGGTAATCGTAACCTATTAGCTTAAAAAATTTCCTGATGTATTTAGGATTTTGACTATTTCAGAATTTTTAAACTATTAGAATCCTGTTTTAGCTAGAATCTTAAACTTCAAAATTTTTGTTAGTCAGAATTTTGACTATTCAGAATTTTAATATCATTTGTTAGGATTCTGTCTTAGTTGGTATCTTAACTTGTCAGAATTCTTATTTGGGATTTTAACTTGTCAGGATTCTGTCTTAGTCAGGATTTTGAATGTTAGAATTATATAGTATCAAGATTTTGGATTTTGAAATTTTGTAGTAAATTCAATTAGATTCTTCTCAATGAAAGGAATTCAATAATATCAAAATCATCTAATTTGAATTAGGGAAGTATTATTTATCACCTGATTTTTTGTAAATAGTAAATATTCCCCTCTCTCTTACATGATAAAATTTATGGGTCCTAATCATTTTCGCTACATTCATTTCCAACAAGAATAAAACTGATTAATTATATATCAATGTATATGATACTTTGTTAAGGAACCCCATTCTAAAATAATCAGGTGATAAATGACACTTCCCTTACTGAATCAAAAATATTAATATTTTTATAAAAAAAATTATTTTTTTAACTCCTCTATCTTATGAAAAAATACAAAAAAAATATATTATTTTTTATAAAACTCCTTCTCTCCTCTTGTATAATATTCAGTAACTAAGTATAAGTTGTTTAGCATACCTTATATTACAAGTATACTGCTTTATTAGAATGAAATATAGAATTAAGCCTCTATATAAATAAACAAATATAAAGCATTTGAGGTTGTAATAATAATATCTTCAATACTTATTATTGTTTTTTTTATTTTTATTTTTTTTAATCTAGATTATTATAAAAGAAAAAATAACATATATCTTCTGTTGTTTGACAAGAAAAATAACTAATGTTTGAGTATAGAAAGTTTATAAACATTTTCTTACTAAGCATATGTTGTTTAACATACTTCATGTCACAAGTACACTACTTTATTAGAATGGAATATGGAATTAAACCCCCATATAGATGAATGAGTGAAGGCATTTGAGATTGTAATGATGATATCTTTAATACTTATTATTTTTTTTATTCTTTATTTTTTTTTAATCTAGTTTACTATAGAAGAAATGACGTGTGCCTTTTGTTGTTTGGCAAGAAAATGACTGATGTTCGATTATAGAGTTCGTAGAGATGACAAGTTAAATCAATTAACAAGAAGAATGATACTTTGAAATAGATTTCATAAGATAATTGGGTAGTATATTATAAATATTAGAAAGTTCATCTCAATGTCTTACACTTGAGTCTTCTAGTTTAAGCACGATACGTCACGCAAAATACTTACAATTTTGTATAAATTTTTTATCGGGTATTTGGGTAGTGACAATAAAATCTTAAATAAAAACCTTTACTAGAAAAATTTTTTAAAGAAAATTAAAATCCAGATCGTCGGATCAACTAAAAGTTACAGTAGTTAGCGATAATTTTTATTAAAAAAAAAAAAAATCAAAGTCCAGACTGTTATGTTAACGACCTTATTTAAAAAAAAAAAGCCGTGCGGCCGGGTCACAGATTATTTTGTGCGGCCTAACTTGGTATTTAAAACATCGAATGCGTTTCTTCTTTTGTGAAAACAAAAGAAAAATATAATGACCTTTGCGATTTGGTGATATATCAGTTTTATGAGGTTTGATAATATCTAAATCGTAAATGTTATCATTATATTATATCCCAGGTACTTGTCCGGTACTTGCTCTTTATAAACCCTTGTTTAAAATAAACATATTAATTATTCATCATTATAATCATGATAATTTAAATGTATTTGAAACTTATATAACACTAATGTTTTATTTAACATATCTTCTAATCTTATATATATCAATCGCCAGAATCATATGAAAAAAATGAAAATATTTTACATGCGAAAGTAACTATAATAAAAAAAAAAAATGATGCAAAAAGGTTGAAAGTTACAATGATATTTCTAAATAATTTCTATATAACAGTATAATGAATATTCAAAATCTATAACTAAAAATCAATAAAATCAAACAAATTTTTTTTGATTATAAGAAACACCATTAGTTATATAAAGAAGGTTCACTAGATTTATTACATCATTCATCCTAATCAGTAAGATTCTCTTTGGCATCGACAAATTCATCATCATCATCATCTTGATCAGAAGATGAATAATTTATAATTACTGATGGAGTCTGTAGATTTGAATCTATTTGTTTAAACGTATCTTTAGGCTTTTCAACCATATCAAATTGGTTATAGTCTTCCATATTCTCTGTATTTGGTTCTGTAAAATCATCACATACATAATCCATAATGCTAGACGTATCATCTCTAAAATTGGATTTCGTTATATCTCCAAAACCATCTATATCTTGAGATCCAATAATTTCAAACTCAAACTCTGGCAATCGTAAAGATCCACTATCTGGTGTGTAAGGTGTGGTTGGCGTAGTATTAGTTTGGAGAGATAATTCTGATGGTGTAGGTGATGATATTGATGATACATTCATAGTGACAGGTCTGTTATTTACTTCCTTATTATGTCCTTCTGTAATGTTATGGAAATAATTCCCTACATTTGAATGTTTTCGATAAGCACGGCTTTCATCACTTCTATGCATACTCTTTCTCTTTTGCCAATAAGTATTATCTCCCATTATCGTTGAACACAATTCTTTTTCCATTATTTCATGATAACAAACTAGTCGACTAAGCTCAAGGCAAATATTTTTGATTCGCCTGCCTACAACAGTAGCAACTTGAATGATCCGATCTCGAGTAGTTGCTTTATATGGTATCATGAGGGCAAGATTATTGCCAAATCGAACGTCCGTCTGGAGTTGAGATGTGAGTGCCGCAATTTTTCCTTGAAGTTCCTCAATTTTTGACTGAATTAACATAATCAAAGAGAAAATTAATATGCTGTGTTATCGTGAAATAACATCAGGGACGTTATTTCGAAACATAAATTTTTAAAGAGAAATAATAGCTAATTTAATCAAAAACCTTTTAAACATCAATGTTCATTATATAATTTAACATTATTATTATGATAAATAAAAATTATAATGAACATTAATGCTTAAAAAAACTTTAACTAAATTAATTATTAATTTTATTAATTTAAAAAAGTTTTAACTAAATTATTAATTCTCTTCAAAATCATGTCCTGAGATAACATCTTGAGTAAAGATGGTGGTAAAATTAAACTAGTGTGATAAAATTTTGTGAAAATAATTTCACCAGCATCTCTAGTCTTGAGCATTATTTTGTGACAATAAAGTAAACTTAAATGTAGAATATATACATACCCTAAGAACATCAGCCCTACGATGCACATCATTTGAACTATTTTCTTCTTTACTTTGAAAGTTATAATGTTGCTTTCGACTATTTTTCTTTTCTCTTCTTCGCATTTCTTCGTCTTTTTCTAAACTACCATTCCAAGTATGTCTCATTTTTAAACCAATAGTCTTGAAAGTGGCAGCATAATTTATCTTTACAATCCAATCATTCATTTCTGACTCACTTTCTGCCTGAAAAAGATATTGGCAGCCCTGAGGACATACAAGACGAAACACATTTGGATATTTTTTGTAACTTTTGTCATATACAGCGACTGAATCAAGGGTCATTATGATTACTTCAGGTTTTAGCGTTGGAATCACGGTAGATTTCTATAATTCATAAAAATAATTTAATAAAAATATTCATATCTACAATATACAAAAATTCCCAATATATTATGATTTACCATTGGATAATTTAAATTTGGTATATGATTATTGAACCATGCGTCATCTTTGAAAAACATTAATTGACTTCCACTCAGGACAACACCAAATTGTTTCCAACTTCGCGCAAACCCGGTCGTTTTTCCACCTTCTATCATATCCGTTTTACGACCCAATCTACCGGCTTTTGTGATTTTTAGAAGAAAGGTGTCTTCGTCATCATCCGAAGGGTGTATTGAAGATGACGTTGGACTGAAAGATTCACTGTTTCCTCTAGTTCTGACACCCGTAACTCTAACAGTATGAGCAGTGACAAAAGCGCGATGTATACTAACCGTATCCAATTCAGGAAGAGTTCCTTTATACGAGTAAATATTTTCGACTGGAACAATATCCTTGAGTAATGGAGTAAAATCAGTTGGAACTTTCTATAAATCAAGGAAAAAAAAAGGGTTGAGGTGTTAAAAAAGTTTTGAGATGCTTAAATTGATTAGAAAAAAGAAATAACTTATAAAATAACAAAAATCTTACATGTTGTATTACAAAGTACGGATCATTTCTTACAAACGAAGATTTTCTGCGATCCTTTAAGGTACCAAATATTCTAGATCGCCTATTTTCTGATGAAGATGTAAGCATCGTTTGTCCATTGACATCCGTATCATCATCGGCATATATAAATCGAGCAAAAGTTATATTGTCGTAAAGAATCTATTATGATTATAAGAAATTAAAATTAATAGGATGATTGGTAAATCAACAAAGTCAATAAAGATGAACTAATTACCTCAAGGATCTCTCTCGGCACACCGTCAATCCTTGTATTATTTACGAATTCATCCTTTGTCATTTTACGCTTTACACTTTTGTTAAATGCATCAGTGTGTAACATCAACATTGCAAAAGCTAAGACGTAAGCCACATCTATAATTTAACAGTATCATATAATCAGAATAATGTTGACTAAAATAAATAGTAAATACGTAAAATAAAAACAACTGGGCTAGATGCTGCAAAAAGACAAATTTTTTAAAATTGGTTTTTTTTTTACATAAATTAATTTAGAATAAGTTTCAAGATTATTTTTAATTTAAGACACGAAAGTACTGTTGGCCACTGCCTACAATACACAATACCCAGGGTCTTATTCAAGAACTCCATTTTTAAAATTGAATAGTACCCATGGGTACTAAATGAAGAACCGGGTACTATATTTGGAGATATATCAAATTAAAAGTGGTAAATCAACATAGTTGTACCCCCAGGTCTTATTCAAGTAACAAGCCAGTAGGGATGGCGAATAATACCCGGGCCTTAATCATGGGAGTAGGGTTAGGGATCGGCTATATGATTTAGTAGACTAAATCGACTAAACATTGTAATTTACATATAAATTTTTTAGTCGACTAAATCGATTCCTATCCCTACATGGGGTATTATTTTTGGGGATACTGTAAGCAGTGGCCAACGGTAGTTGTATTAATAAAATTTGGCAGTTTCTTATGATTTATTATAAAATTTATAATATAAAGATTGAATTTCTGAAGATCTTTTTTGCAGCACTCAGCCCAATTTTTAGCAAATTATTTTAACAAACCTGAACTTGAAAACACATCTGGATTACACTCATGATATCTTTTAGCAAATGCTTCCATGACGCGATCTATTTGTTGCGTCTCCTTTGGTAAGCAGCAATCCAACAAAAATTTCCTGAATTCGCAAATTTAACGAAATTGAGAATTGAAGAGAATTGAAGAGAATTGACGAGAATTGAAGAGCCTACCGTAATGCGATATCAATGGGATCGCTGCGAAAATCAAAAGTCTCCATATACGTTCGCAACACAGCTTCATGAAATATGTCTTTGCTATGTATATTAAAATTAACAAGTTAAATAATCAAGTCGCAATCCGCATCAACACTTTTAAAAATATAGACCTTTTTGCAAGCAGGGTTGCCAATTCAGATTTTGATAAAGTATCACGCAATTTTTCAAGATATTGTTGAGGAGTATCCGGAAAAGCCTTATTTACGAGAGATGCATTCCTCTGATTCAAAGTACTTAAATTCACCATAGATTTTGCAGCAGAATGAGAAGTAGTTTGATTATTACTCAGATCGTTACTTTCAGCAAACAACTCCGCGATATCAGGAGCAGATTCGGTACGTTTAGGTTGCTTTAACTTTGCAGGATCCAAACCGTCAAATAAAGAACCAGAAGCAGATAGACTTGAAGTATCAGAAGAATGTAATTTTGTCGGAGAAGGAGGTGGCAAAGTGGATTTTTGAGAAATGTCATTGACGCTACTTTCACCATCATCGAAATCAAAATTGTCAATAAATGGATTATTAGTGGAAACTCTAGTAGTAGTTATTGTTATGGTAGTTGTGGTTGTAGTAGTCATTATGGTAGAATCATCCGATTTAGCAGATAAATTTGATGAAGACAGTGGATTTGTTTTTCCATCATAAGGAGGAGGAGGCGTATCTTCTACATTAGGAGCATCCATCAGTAATAAATAATAGTAATAAATAAATAATCGCAAATTATGCCGTCAGAAGATTTTGAAATAAAAAAAAGTAAAAGCATGAAATAGAAGGGAAAAAATGCAAAAAAATACAAAAAAAAAATGGGTGAAAGTAAGTTAAAGAACATCCAAATCTTTGAAGGAAAGGTATTAATTCAAAATTAATATAAATATAGAAGTTACACGTGTTTATACAAACTATACAAGCACCTACCGGATCCAAAAATGAATGAATGATTAATAGTTTATTGAGATTCTTTATGTTCTCAGTTACACAAATTACACAAGATTCTGCCGGTAGATTTCACAGTTTCAGGACAATGGGGTAACCGAATGCAGATCTTGCTTTGCTAAGGAAACCAATACAAGGAAATATCCCGCCTCTTTATATTAACTATATCAAATTTTAAAAAATAAACTAATCACGTCAGGACTTTAAAATTGATGTTAAAAAAAATCGGAATTTATTTCTTAAGTTTATCGATATGATCGATATGAATCGTAAAAAAGTAATCGGAATCTTAGTTACGATAAAGCATAGAAAGTAGGTTGCCTGCAGACAAACAAAGAATAAACACATCTGCATTTACCATAAATTTTGTAATGTATCGATATGTACTTTCTGTTTACTACGCGTTAACTATTCACGTGTACAAATTAAAATTTTATTTTAGATGTTCCGGATTGGTTTTTAGAATCATTCGGAAAACTTGCTCGATAAATTATGATGTTTCGGATTCGGAAAACCTACTCAAAATATTCAAGATTTTATTATTATTAACCTTAAATTGATTTTTTAAGGGATTTCATACCTCCTGAACCAATTCAATTTTTGGTTAGCTTACAATTCAGAACGCTAGAATAAATAACCTTCAGGGTGGTCTTCAGGGTGGGTGTGAACTTAAATAGATTTTAATACTATAAAAATAAATGCTATGGTTTTTACTTTTTTAGGTTTTTTTTCAAATCAGTGTTTTAAATGTTTCACGATATCTGATGTCTAGTGTTTAATTAATCAATATTCACTATATCGAGAGTAACCTGTGCATTTACTGGTCAAAAATGTCCGACCACCTGTTAATCATTGCAAATCGATGGTTATTGATTTGCTTTAGTTTAGTAATATACTGTATTACATCATTGTAATACTGATACGGTTTGACCTCTTTAGTCACTTTCACTATTTATTTTAAACAAAAATCTCATTGGTACAGGCAAATTTGATTATTACGACAATATAAAAAGTATACTATATAAGCCGGTTTTTAATATAATATGCGATTCAGTAGTTATTAATAACGTAATTACGCCCTCATCATTATGAACCGGTTATTATCCGATTAATCGATTTAGCATATGCATTTTATGTAATAACTCATGCTTTCTTTCGAAAACTTGCTTACGATTAATATCTTCCCAGCAGCATCACATCTTCCCCAGTTTTTCCTCTTTAAAATTCATTTATGTTAGGGTTAGCATTTGTATTAAGGTAAGAAATTAGGGATAATATGATTGGACCTAGCTGCCGCACCAATTTTGTCACGGTCGATTCTTGATTTTGATTGGCTAAGAGCGATTATCAAAAAATTTACTCAAAATTTTACTAATGAAATCACAGTCGTCCATTACAGCTGTTCTCATAAATTCTGTGTCAACTGATAATTATTTCAGGGCCGAATTCGTTAAGTTTTTGAATTCGGTATTGTCGACATTGGATTTTCGGCATTATAGTAATTCCGATAACACACAATTCAAAGACTTCTAGAATTCGACCGAATGATTGTCCAGAATTCATGAGGACAGCTGTAAGTAAAAAAAAATGTTCCTGGGCTAATTTTACCATCTTGCGGGCTTATTTCTATTTTGGAATGATAATGTTAAAATGTTAATTCCGGCCAAAAATGATATAACAATTATGTAATGCGGGCCAAAATTTTGAAGATCACCAATCAAATTCAAGAATCGGCCGTGACAAAATTGGTAAGGAAAAAATCAGACTTCGATCATATAAAATTATATGATCAAAGTCCGGTTTTTCCTTGATGTCACCCCTCTGTAATAATAAAATTGCTCGAGGAAATTTTTTATTAAAGCACCAAAGACAATTTCTTATGATACTGTGTGAATTAAACTTAACTAATTTAAAAATTAAACTACAGTCGACTCTGGATTAGAGGTGTAGGCGAATCGTCCCAATGATGTCCCAATGATGTTACGGCTTAAGCCGTAACTAGCTAAAGCTTATGTCGTAACTAGTTACGGCAATCATTGGGACGATTCGCCTGCACCTCTACTCTGGATATATTTTGGGAGGTTTTGTTCAGTATAGAGAGCATGATAAAAGGTTGTTTTAATTGGTTATTGATCCAGATAATATTGCGACCTGTGGCTGGTCGTATTAACAATACAAGTACTAGTGCTAGTGTCGGAGCCCGTCATTATATGACGGGATATAGAGTATGAAACAAACGGGACTATATATAAAATTGTTAGATCTGCATTACTTGAAAAATGACCAAATTGATGTTTATTAACATCAACCAAACGTCGTAACTTATCGATTCGGTTACTGGAAAATAACCTGTTATCAGGCTTTCAATTATATTTGTATCCAGTTTGTTTTCTGAGTGCCGTCTATGAAAATTTGTGAGTAACATAGTCGTGCCATAAAAATTTGTCGGTGATGTAATATCCGAGCTCATCGGTACTAAAACGTCGATCCGATTCTAGATCATCTTTTCACATTATTATCATTATTATCGCAACTAGTAAAGATTTATTATCGCTATCGCTATAGAGTAAGAATAAATTAAAGTGTACATATTTGAATTATTTATTAACAAGAATACAAGTGCTATTTATTGCAACCAAAAGGCAAGCTTTGAGCCACGAGGAGGATTCCAAGTACGTTGTTGACTTCTAGCCCTTAAGGCTTCTTGACAAGTGATCATTTCAGTAACTAAGGTTTGTTTAAGTTTTTCATATACATTGTAAAAATGATCATTCTCAATATTGTCTAAAACGATATCTAATAAAGATTTAAAAATCTTTCTATCTTCTTCTAGCTTTGCTTTTCTAAATTCGATCAATTCATATTGGCTATGAATATCTAATTCTATATTAATATCACTTGTATTTTTCAGTTGATCTGAAAAACTTTCGTTAATCACATTATTCCAGGAATTATTGGTTAAGTTAATATTTGGAATTTTTTCATTACCAAAATAGATAAATGGATAGTCATGTCTTCGTTTTGTAGTCTTGAATTGGGGAAAGAAATTTGGATACATAATAGTATAATTTTTGACAAGATGCTTGCACTACATATAATTATTTTCAAGAAATGCAAGACACGAACAAACCCATTTGTCAGTATTAGTTAAATATCCTCTCTCCATGCTAACTTCTTTCTCCAAAGCAGTTTTCTATTCATTTTTAAATACTCCCACCATGATGGAAATGCACGGTTACTATTAAATCTATTCCACTTATGTATTTGGTCTGGAACTAGTTCTTGTGTTATAAGTTGTGTTAAGCGATCCAAACATGGTCGATTGGAGCTATATTTATAATTACTTTTTAAAGTACGCCAATGTGATTCTACTAGCATGGTAGTTTTAGCTAATAGTAATGCGTTAGGATAAGAAGCCCGAGCAAAGAGATTCCAATAATTTTTTTTGTACCAGTTAATCCATAGATATCCCACAGGTAAACAAGATTCTTTTTTTTACAGTATTCATATATTTCACAAACACTGTGATAATAAATTTCATCTGAGGTAAGAAATATTCCATTCTTAATTGGAATAAGCAGATGTAATAATGCATGCTTCTTAATCATCTTTAAAACTTCAACTTTATTTTCTTCAGGACATATAGCACTTTCCTGTTCATTAGGTATCCAAAATTTATCAATAAATTTGAATTGTTGATTAGCATTATTTGCTATTTGCGATGTATACTAACTATTTTTACTTTTTTTTTCTTTTAATTTTCTTTCAATAGCACGTTCCATATACCACAAGCAAATCTGGATTTTTATTATTTGAGACCAAGCCATTTTTATAGCTGCTATTTCACCAGAATCCTTGTCTGTAAGAACAAAGATAGGTCGAATTCCTTCCATTTTTAGCAAAGAAAAAAATTCTTTTAAAACTAATACTTGTGAGTGAATATTATTTTTTGGATCCCGTAGACATTCTGCTGGTGCTGAAAAAGTATGAACATATAGATATGCAAGTGGTGCTTCGAATCCATCACAATTGTTCAAAACAGAAAAAAGTTCAAACTTTTCTATATTAGTTTTAAACGTTGAGTCTAAAATAATTTCACTAACATTATCAAGTGTATAATAAAGAAAAGGCGTAGTAAACCCAAGAGCTTTGACGAAATCATTTTCGATATATAATAAAACTTTGTATCCTTGATCAATAAGTTCTTCTTGTTCCAAGAAATTATGAGCTAAAAGAAGTTGATTATCAAAGTTTGTAATATACCGCTGAGCAGAAAATTTTGAAACCCAATAGTATACTTGCTGGTAAGTATGTACATTTGAATTAATGAGTCTTTCTTCATACAATTGCTTATAAAATTCTATTTTTTGAAGATTTCTATTTATATTTCGTGATATCCAGGATATAGCATTTGGTGATAAATTATTTTCACGATAAGTAGGATATGTATGAGCCATTAAATGTTCAATAATTATTGTTGCTTGATTTTTATTAATATCAATATTAATTTTACCATTTCTACTATATAGATACTGCTCGATTGAAGGTCTTGCCTTACTTATTCTTTTTGCTGGTTGGCTTTTACGTTTTCGCTCTTTTCTTTGTGCACAATATATATATACTACTGCTTCTCCAGTTAATTGATTATTTTTTTTATGAGGGTATATATTTTTTATTTCCCAATAGTAGCGAGATCCAGCTTCGATAATTAAGAGAAGAGATGTGGCTATATTATGATATATTTTTTCTT